TGTACAATACAAGATACCACTTGTTCAATCCACCATTCTTGCGTTCTGCACACTTCACCAATTTAAAAATGTTCTGCCTTCACACTGCTTCAGCTCTCACTATGGCTGATCAACCAATCAGCATTCTTCACTTTTGTTCTCAGTTACTTAGGCAAATAGCCTCCTCTAGTCCGACCAGTCAGCACACGACTTGCTATTGGTCGAACCATGCCAAACTGTACAAAAAGCCCCATTATAGCACATACTGCTGGAATAATTAGATGGGAGAGTAATGCCATTTTCAAGAAGCAAAATGCTGATGCCATATGCCATATGTTGAGGTAAGACTTATTTTCCTTTGCACTAGATGCAAGCTACTCTGTGTAGCCATCCAGACCGATCCCATGAAGGGATGAAAATCCCTTACATGATGTGGAAATCCATCGATGTGCACTGACTGTGGACTATTAACCTGAGACACGTGACCCATTCTAAACTTAGTCATGCATCTCTCATGGGGAGTTTTTGCCCCCAAAATGTCTTCCACTTCATATGCTCCTTGAGTATTCTAAAGTTCAGTGGGGGTCATGGCTTGATGCAGCATATTGGGATATGCTACCTATGAAGTGCATCAGCTGGTGCCGTAGTAGACGAGTGATTATCTTTAGCTGTGACATTATACCAGTAGACCACCTCCAGTATCGAGCACTGCTTTCTAGCCGCAATGTTTTTGATGCTTCGGTAACTTCTTTCTACTATGCTATTTCCAGCAGGTGCATAGGCACATTGGAACCACAAAGTACACCCCAATTCCTAGTTACCATTCCCGCAACTTGTGTACACACGCCTCCAAGTTAGCAGTATATGGTTCCACAAAATCATTCAATTCCTGGTAACCAAGTACTAAACGGACCTTCTGCTTACTCTCTTGTATCACTGCCATTAATGGGATTAGACACTTAGGTGGAGCAAGTTTCTCTTCAGGGTATGGCTGCAGTCATCCATTATCCAGCCATGACTGAAACTCTATCTCGTATTCATCCCATGCATAGTCGGGTACTGAATATTCTGTCACTATATTCTTTAGGGTTATAGATGGTTGTTCATTCATCCACTTCCACGAGGCCTTCTATACTTTTTTTTATGACAGTCAAACTTTGCACTAAAGTCAAGCTCCTTGATGGAAATAGCAGCATATTGGGGCCTACTTTCTTCAAAAAAGTGAAATTCTCCTGAGTGATTTATGTGCACCCCTCCTAGTTCTCTGATTGCGTCAATCCCCGAGAAGAAGATCAAGCCCAGGTAGTGGTCTGTCCACAATTAGGGCATCAGTGCACATGGGTTTCATCATGACCAATATTCAGTTAATACTGCCATGTCCACGGCATATTAGGGCCTTACTGTTGGCAGTTAGGACTTTTGTCTTCATTGGTCACCAAATGTGGCATTCACATTTGCTTACCAATGTCTGTGAGCTGCCAGAAAGAACCAGGTCCATGCACTTCTTTCTGTCTATGGCCAGATAGGTAGCGCCATGTTCTTTAGTTGTTTGGGGAGAAAACCAGCGCTGACGTCTGGTCCCTGGAGCTGTTTCTCTGGCACTCTGATGAGATATGCTTGACCTTGTTGCACTGAAAACATTTTATCTCGCGGTGGGATCTTTGTGTCCGGGTAGCCGTCCTCTCCAAGTAGTCTTGCATACAATCTTTGCCAGGTGGTTGGGACCAAAATACTTAAAACAAACAATTCTGCCCATCCATGCGGTAATGTCAGTATTGAGTTGCTGTGGCAACCAGTTAGTTCATTGGGCTCTTTGCTATTGATTGTAATGGCCCAAGCCTGAGTCAGAATCTGGTCCAAAGTCATGGTGTCCATTTTAGATGATGCTTGGAGAAGTTGCTTGACTTGTGGCGGCAGTCCAGAAACAAATGCACATGTCATCCATCGCTCGGGCAATTGGATGCCAACCATCAGATCTATTTTAACTCTGCTAAAAATTCATCTACAGTTTCCCCTGGCCAAAATTGTTGACACAAATTGATCATATGCTGTGAATGAAGCCACTGCATATGCAGTTATAAGGGCTTGCTTAATCTTTTCTGCATCTGACTGCTCTGTTGTCAGCTGCCGATACACAGAGAGAGCCCTGGCTCGCAAGCGCAGTGGCAATATCTGATTGACTTTCTTCATCTCGCAGAGTTCACAAACCAACTCCACATTTTCAATACATTCTACAATTGGTAGATCGGTAGCAGCCCCACTGAATTTGGGTATTAGCCTGATATTGAAACTTCTGTCCACCATGATTGGGAGGAAAGCTGAAATAGCTTGTAGTTAAATGATTCCCTATTCCTCAGATGTCATTTATACAAGATACGACTTGTTCAATCCGCTGTTCTTGCATTCTGCACACTTCACCAATGTAAAACCGTTCTGCCTTCTCACCGCTTCAGCCTTCACCACAGCCAAGCAACCAATCAGTGTTCTTTACTTTTGTTCTCGGTTACCCAGACAAATAGCCTCTTTCAGTCCGATCAATCAGCACATGACTTGCTATTGGTTGAACCATGCTAAACTGTACAAAAAGCCCCATTACAGCACATACTGTTGGAATAGTTAGATGGGAGATAATGCCATTTTCAAGAAGCAAAATGCTGATGTCACATGCTACATGTTGAGGTAAGACACTTATTTTTCTTTGCACCAGATGCAAGCCACCCTGGTTCACCACCCAAATAACACTATAAATAGCCAAAAAACTGCATCTGGATCCGCAATTGTTTCTACACAAGAGCCCCTAAAATAATTTGAAACATAACTGCTACTGCCCACCAAGACAACTGTTAAAATAATACAATAGACTACCCACAATGTATCACTGACCTGTAAATAGTTGAGCAAAAAAAAACAATCCATATGACCTGATGATTGTGTTTAACCATGAAACAGACTGTTGCCTCTGGGTGTTGATTTAATGTCCACTTTTATATTTACATACATTCTTTCCCTGATATTGAACCCATTAATATAACATGCCTTAAAATTATATTTTATCACATATAGGTACCTCCCACTTTTTTCATGAAAAAAGAACTCAAACTTGATGAAAACAAAGTTTTATTGTCAAAATAATTGTTATTATTAAGAGGAAAGACCAAAGTATTTTTTGATTATTTTAAAATTTCTTTAATCCTTTCTAATATGTTTGAGATTTTGGTTAAAAATCTTGATTATTTTTTGCGTCAGCAGTGGGCCAAAGATTACTAAGGGTAATTTAGTGTCTTTTTTGAAGTAAAAAAACATTGTTTTTTAAATTCTTGGAAAAATCAAATAATTGTTGGATTTTAACAAAATTTTCAGGATTTATGAGCTAAATTATTTTTGAAATTTTTTTTTTTTTTTTTTTTTTTTACGGTTGTTACCCTGACTTATGTAATTTTGAGAAATTAAATTTTGATCTGATTATTTTTTTATATTAGTTAAAAGCAGGACTCCTTGGTGAATTTAAATCCTTGATTTTTTTTTTTTTCTATTTTTTTTATTTTTCTTAAACAGTTATTCATTTACCAAAAATTTGCTCTGAATCATAAAATAAAAGATCCAATAAAACAATGACGCTATTTAATTAGAAAAGCTTTTAATTGCTTTTATAAATAAGATATATTAAAGACACTATTGTTTGTTGAAGAAAATTTTTTTCAAAGAATAATGAATTTTTACAGGAACTGTTTACATTTTTGAAAAATTCTTATAATACTTTATGAAGTTTTAATCTTTTAAAATTCTGTATTAATTTCTGCCTTTTAGATTATATTATTAAGTGAAAACTATATTTACTAATCATAAATGGAAAAGCTTAATACAAATACTCACACACCAAGATTTTTAAAAGAATTTTTAATATTTTTTTTATTAGTGTATAAACATGTCAGCTGGCCATATGTGACATTATCAGAAAATAAAAGCAATAACTTCTAAAATTCAATAAAGCATTAGATTACAGAGAATATTTTGGTAATTTTTAAAATTTACTGAGTACTTAAAAATAATATAAAAAGGTACTCACGTCATTTTTTAAAATTATGTTTTACAGATAAAGTCTCCATAGGACATTAGATCTGTCATCAGGCTATCAAACACATAAACACAGCTACCATTTGGTTAAAAATTAATTGCTGCAATATTTTAAACTTAAATAATATTTTTCAAATCAGATTAATTATGCATTAATCAGCTAATATCAGATTAATTATGCATTAATCAGCTAATATTCCTTGAATAGAGTTTCAGAAAAGTATATTTTATTTTTGCAAGATTTTTAAAACAGGGAACTAACTTGTTTAAAATGTCTCAAAAATGGATGACCTTGACAATGTTACTGGAAAATAAAATGAAAATCGATTCCAATCAATATAATTTCTGTTTGAAATACACCAGAGTATTGCTTACTGGAAATAGTAAATTTAATTCTTTTAGCTTTCAATTTATGTTAAAATAGAAGCTTCAAGAAAGCTTTTGCATTTTTAAAGATTAATTTAAACCTTAGGTGTTATGATTTTTGTGGTGGTACATATATAATTTATTTGAAAATTATAACATAAATATGTTATAAAATCACTACAAAAATAGCCATTTTGTTTCAACACTTCTAGTGTCATATCAAGTGCTGGTGTTGTACATTCAAGAATAGTATTTTGGTTATTGGAATTTATTATGTATACACCAATCCTATACTTGGATATATATATATATATATATATATATATATATATATATATATATATTATTTATTTAAAAATATGATTTCAAATCGCGACATTATATATATAATCTCCTTGTTGAGTGTTGATTGTCCAGAGTGCTACTTGTGCCAGAACCTTTTTAAGGAGCTATCACTTAATTTTAATCCTATCTAGTTGGGAATGTATAATATAATTTTTTATTTACCTCCTTTTTTTTTTTTTTTTTTTTTTTTTTGTAACTTGTTTTAAATCTTAATGCATATTTCATTTTCTTTTCAGTTTTAGAGTGGTCACCTATAATTTATTGGCTGATTATTATGCTGACTCTGACTATAGTCGCACAGTATTGTATCCTTACTGCCCTCCTTATGCTTTAAGTATTGACTACAGAAAACAGCTGATTCTCAAAGAACTTGCAGGTAAGAATTTCATTTCTTTTAACCCTGCGTTAGTCACATGGGGTGTTTTTGTTACCTTCAAATTTTTAAAGTATTCGTAATTCTTAGTTGACAACTTGTTTCTTTTGTGCCCTCCCACTGTTCTCCTGATTTTGTGAGTGTATGTAGCATGTGGTGTGGTGCAGTTGTAGCTCAGTTGTTGTGGGATGCAGGTGTCATTTTGTCTTCTTTGGGGTGTCCTGTCATCCCATCTGACTAACAAAGTTTTCATATAATGTCTCTTAACTGAATTTCTTCTTCACATAAATTTATTGTGCTGTAAAAGATTTAAATGACAACAAGCATAAATTTATTTTGAAGTTGCTATAGAATTTAATTATTTAAGAATGGAATTCCTATTGTATTTTAACATTGGATTGGAAGAATGAAACTTTGCCTAACGGCATATATATAATCAGCTTATGTAGAGATGCATTATAGATGAGATAAACATAATTTATCTGAAAATGCAAGTCCTTTTATTATAAACAGTAATAATAATATTTTTTTATCACACTGTTGTCTTCAAGCCTTCAGTGACTGCATCTGCCTCATTTTTATGTAATAAAATATTTTAGATAAATTTTCATGTAATTAACCAAAGCTGTTTATTTTAGAAATATTTTTGACAATTTTTTCTTTGACTTTGAAATTTTTTTCATTGTTGGATTCTTGACCTTGTTCTAAATAGGCTGAAATATTGAAAGACATTAAAAAATATCTGTATTTTCTTCAAAGATTGTAAGTAAAGTAATAAACTGAAGGTCAACTGATTCTTTATTAATTTCAAGGAATTTGGAATTGGTGAAGTGTAATGTTGTAGAACTGTGTGACATTTATTTAACTTTTTATTTATTTATTTACCTTTTTTTAGGTTACAATGCTGATTTAATTTGTTTGCAAGAAGTAGACAAGAAGGTTTTTGAAAATGACTTGTTACCTGCTCTCTCCTTACTGGGTTTTGATGGTGTGCTGAGAACTAAGGCTGGTCAAGTGCCTGAGGGTTGTGCAACATTCTTTCGAAAATCAAAATTTAAGTGAGCATATTTTAATTTCTTTTTTTTTTTAATTTCTTTCTTCTAAATTTTTTTTTTTATTTAATTTTGTTTTTAATTTTTTTTTTAATTTAATTTTTTTTTAATTTAATTTTTTTTTTTAATTTAATTTTTTTTAATTTAATTTTTTTTTAATTTAATTTTTTTTTAATTTAATTTTTTTTTTAATTTAATTTTGTTTTTTTAATTTTTTTTTTTTTTTAATTTTTTTTTTTTTTTTTTTTTTGGCTTTTACAACAGGGCCTCCCTGTACAAAGAATTCATAAACTCCATGTTGGCATGGTTAATTCAATCTGCAATATTTATGTTGGAAATATTTATTAAACTAAAACTTTGTAAAATAGAATAAAAATAGGAAATAACACCATATCCTCAAAGCCATTATGTCATCAAATCCCGAGTTGGGGAAAAGACTTTAATAAATGCTTTTTTATTTATTTATTTTTTCCCCTTGACTACTTGAATGTTATTTTTAAATTCCTTTCTTGTATCCAGATGTATAACTTGCCTGATTTCTGCATACACCTGACATCAAATGCTTAATGTTTTCAATGCAAAATTGTAACCAGCATTTATTGTAGTTCTCTCCCCTGACCTTATTATATAATATATATTTCTAAAGAAATAATGGATCTCTTATTTATTAATCTGACAGATTTTCATCACTTTAACTGTTAATTTAGTGGCCACCCATATTTGAGTAGATGCTCTGCAGGTTTCTAATTTAAATCCCCCTTTGCAGGTGTTATAGTGGAACACACCTATTCTATAGTTAATAGACTCTTCCACTTGTAATAAGTAGGAGTAGTAAGAGTAACGGGGGAGTTGCTCAGTGGGTCGGTCAGTCAGTCAGTCGATGTCGGACGACATAGTCGAATACTAAACTATCAGCGACCACAACTAGATTTTCTCTGCGTCATACCTATTATATGAAGTTCCTAACGTTTTCTACGTCGCACCTTTTTTAGGACCGACTTAGTACAAATACAAGCCTCCACTGTGAAATCACTCCATAACAGGAGGAGACGTACCTTTAATTCTAAAAGGCAGTATTTGACTTTGCTTGATTGGTGACATCTTTTGTGGCCGAGTGTGGTTTTATTCCGAAGTTTAGTCAAATTTTGGGAAATAGCTCAGGACAAGTTTTCATCACCTCCTTGGGTGTGTAATATATGACAAAGTGGAAAAAGTTTACTTGTGACACATTTCATCCATTAGGACTTCATTGGACTAAATTTGTTTTTTCATTTCATCACTTTTGTAAGTAGGTATTCCACGCTGTGATATTAGAAGATCTGCCAGGAATGATGAAATGTTTTAAAAGCCAGGGTGCAAATTTACTGTAGATGACCTTGTGATTAAGGCACTCTCTAGACATATATGCTGCAGTGAATTATTTTATTGAATCTGGTCCTTTCTAAAATATTTTATCCAAAAATTCCGTTATATTGATGATGCTCTACTTATATATCTTTGGAATACTGATTTACCTGACCTAGTAGATCAATCAAACGAAGTCGAACACAATGGACTTAACATATGAAATGGAAGAACACAATTCCTTACCCTTCCGAGATATCAAGCTTCATTGTGTTAACAACAGTTTAAACTCCATGTCCACTGGAAATTAACCAACAAAAATGACCTAATAAATTTCTATTCTCATCACAGCAACAAAATAAAATCCGGCATGATCAATGGATTCTACCTAAGAGCACTAATATGCAGCTCAGATTATTTACATGAAGAGGAAAAATACATTGAAAACATTTTCAAACTTCTCCAGCACCCTAATTATTTTATATTCAATTTGAAACAAAAGGCCCATAAAATATTCCAAGACACAAAACCGGCCCCTCCTGTAAAACCCAATGAATCAAAAACATATTATCCTGCTAACTCTATCACATCTACAATCGAAAAGAATCTATCTAAACACAACATAAAATTTATTACTACTACATCCAAAACAATAAAAGACTTAGTCAATACTAAAAAAGCAATAAGCTAAAATTGAAGTAACCTGTAATAATTCTCACAAAGAAATACATAGGAGAAACCTCACGGAATCCAAATAAAAGATTATATGAACACAAAAGGGATATTTTACAAAATAATGCATTAGTTGCCCACTGTAATGAGATGGAGCATAATTTTAACATAAAAAAATGTACTCTGATCAAAGGAGAAAATAATTCACTATGACGTAAATGTCTAAAGAGTGTCTTAATCGCAAGGCCATCTACAGTAAATTTGCATCCTAGTTTTTACAATATTTCACCATTCCTGGAAGATTTAATATCATAGTATGGAATACCTACTTACAAAAGTAATGGAAAGAAAAAGACTCTAAAAGAATTCAGCTAGATAAAAAAAATTCTAAAACTCCCAGCACCCCTCTGTCGTGTGCATCTGTAGTCCTACCAACATAACAAATCTAGTCCAATGAAGTCCTGAAGGACGAAATGTGTTACAAGTAAATTTTTCCCCCTTTGTTATGCAATTTTCCAATATTGTTCTAGATATATAAAAATATATATCATGTTGTGTGTGCGTATATATGTGTGTGTGTGTATTTATGATGGCTAACTAAAAATGGTAACATCTCAATCGGTCCTTTTGTATAAAGTTGTTAATGGTCTTTTTGTATAATGATATTTACAATAAATGTAAAGACAAAAGTGACTAGTTAATAAAATGTTTTCTTTATATTTGTCTCCAATTTGCAGAATGGTTGACCAACATGACATTTTCATCATGGAGACAATACAGACTGATCCCAGGTTTGAAGACATTTTACAACTTCTGAAGTCTAATGAAGAGCTACAGCAACGTACTCTCAACAGACAAACGACCTTACAAGTAAATATCTTTTCCTCTATAACATTTGCAGATTCATAGATTTACTCTTGTCACCCACCAAAATGATTCCCTTGTTGAATTAATGATTGGTGCAGATTTTATTCATGTAATAGTAAAATGATTTACTCAGCTTATTTTGGCACAAGGCTATAAGTATAGAGTGCCCAATGACAGAGAAACCCGGATATAAGAGACTTCTTCTCTGGTCCTGACAACCCTCTTATATCCGGGTCACACTGTACAGTGTAACCCGGATATAAGAGAGATTTTCTCTGGTCCCAAATTAGAGCCTGTGTTAATGTATATAAAATAGACCAAACCCGGATATAAGAGACTTCTTCTCCGGTCCCGACAACTCTCTTATATCCGGGTTACACTGTAGAATTCTTTTTTTTTTTTTATTTATATGTTATGTTTCTTCAGTGATTCTCTAAAGATTTCTTTATCTTTATTAACTGCAAATTGCCATGACTTCTTGAGTAAGAGCATGGAGTGGTTTCATTTTTACCTTTTTCATGGCTTTGAATTCAGAGCTGTCACTGAACACAAAAGAACTCAGTCTACACTGTTATTGAAGAGGAGGAGAGATTTCTTTCCTAAGGGCTTTAGTGTGAAAGTGAATGTAATAGACGAGGCTGGAATTTGAACTTGTCTCATTGATTTCACTTCCTGTGCTGACAACCTTTATGCTACCCTCGCAGACTTTTGGTAAATAGAATTTAATATATGTCTTTGACACTAACTTTGTTTGTGCTCCCTAATATTAGATGATGCAGTGTTTTGTATTTTTTTTTCATCATCATCATGGTTGTTTCTTACATGATCATCAAAAACAGCATGACACAAGATGGACAAGATGTGTTGTGATGTAGTAAATATGTTAAATCTTTTTGATATTTCAATAAAGAAATTTGATGACTTTGTTCTTTGTCTTCTACTCTTAGCATGATTCTGTTGATGAAACCCCACTCCCCAAACCAATGTTCAAATATATTTATGACCTTTAATATTATTTAGCTATGGATGGTTTGGTATTGCTCTATTTATCAAGTCAGAATATTGTGGATTTATTGAACAGAGAAAGAATCTCTTGAAAGTTGCAGATAATTATCAATATATTTGGACAAACTCTTTAGAATAGGATTTGTTGTTTCAGAAAGTACAACAACCAAAACGTGATAATAACAGTAAAAATGAGGACATTTAGTCTGGCTGTAAACAATGACAACTCCTCATTTATACTACGTTTAAAAAGTTTAATTCCACTAATTTTTCTTTTCTTTATTATTTCTAAATTACAAAGCTTCACTATGGAATTTCAACAGATCTTAATAGTTTTTACTGTTTTTCTACTTTCAGTTGATTGTTCTGGAATCATTAGAGAAATCAGGTTATTTTCTGTGTGCTGCCAATATTCACCTTTATTTCCATCCAACTGCCAAGAGTATACGCCTTTTACAGACAGCTGTTTGTATGAAACAAATTGAGTCTCTGATGAAAATGTACAAAGACCAGGTATAGAATTCTTTTTCTAACATTTGCTTTGTCAATATCACTCTATAACTAAATAAATGTTTATAAAGGTACAAAACATAATGTGTATAAAAATTAATTTCAAATGAATTGTCTAAAAGACAAACATTTCTTTTTCATGTGATTGAAAAAGATTGAAAAAAAAAAAAGTGATAAAAAACAGTAAACAAAAATAATCCATATAAAATTGTCACTTTTCACTGAAAATGATCATAAAAAATGTTATTGTCAGCAATTATAGTACTAAATTTAGAATCTTAGATTATCTAATGGAAAGTTATGAGCACTCTGTTTATAAAGGTAAAAAAATTAAGGAATTTTTTAAAGATTTGTGAGTGGGGAAAAATATCTTTTGTAGTTTCAGTCAGAAGTAGCTGATTGGAAACTTTTGCTCAGGTAGATAATATTTTTTTGAAAAAGGAAAAAAAAAGTGAAAGTAGGATAATTTTAAAACCATTTGAAGTTAATTTTAAATTTAAAATGTTGTAAGAAAAATTACCAGACTATTCAAGTGATTTAAGCAAAATTATTTTTTTTTTTTATTTGTTGATGAGTCATTTGATATGATCTGACCATGTCTATAAAGATACTTTATATAAATAAGAGAAGCTAAATTGTAATTTTTTTGTTTTTGACAATTTTTTTTTTAATTTTTAAATTAAAAGGTTTAAATATTAGTAAAAGTTTTAATAACCTTAAAATGTTTTGCATGATTCAACAAATGATTTTTTCAGTGTTCTGTTCACTTGACTGAAGAGACTGAAAAAAAGAAGTGTGTTGCAAACTTGTTTTATACTGAAGAGAACAAAAACTTATTTTTCTTTTCAATTTCATATTCACGTTTTCTTTTCAAATAAGTGCAGTGGTGTATCAAAGAACAAGAGGAGTCTTTTCATTTCTAAAAATTTAATAGCAAGAGACATGAAGAACTTTTTTTTTCTGAAGATAAACATTTGTTGGGTATTTTCCCATCATAGAATTTTATTAAACAGAGTGTGTTGGGGAAGTGTCTATTAATTTTCAAAATGTTAATATACATACTGCCCCATTTATTTGAGAGGCAAGAGTACATTTTTTAAAATATCCCTTTATGTGGCTCTTAAAATACAAGCTGAACTTGGCAAAGTCAAACAACAAAGATTAAAAATGATTAGAAATTGACCATTTTTTCTCCCTAAAGAGTTTTTCTTAAGTAAATACTGGTGTGACATTTTAAGCATGTATCAAACACACTAACAGAAAATAAAATTGAAACACTTAAATATGTTTCAGTTTACTTTTCCATCATTATAGCTTCTGAGATGAACTTGCATCTTATATTATTGGAGTTCAATTGTCTCAATTATGCAATCAGTTCAGTTATGAACGTTCAAGGGAGAGGCACTGAAATCTATAATTTTTCTTAAAAATGAACTTCAATCTTGTTAACTGGGGCAAGAAATAGCTTGTTAATTTTAATGCCTCCAAAAGTAAACTACTATCTTTTTTGACTTTTATCAGCATGGCTGATGCTAACCCCCAAGAGAGTAAATTATTATGCTTTCTTGGCCTAACATTTTCTACTGACATAAAGTGGAAAGATTATATTGAATCAATTGCTAGGTCTGCTGCTAGGAAAGTTGGTTCATTGTGTCATGCAAGGCAATTTTTATCACTAAAATCTATTTTGCAACTTTATAAGACTACCATTTGTTCATGCATTGAATATTGCTGCAACATCCAGTCTGGTGTGTCAACTATGTATCTGATAGATTCTTAACAGAATCCAAAGAATAATCTGCAATATCATTGGTTTGACCTGCCATCTTGGCTTCAGTCATGTTCTCTGTGCCATGGTAATTGTTCTGATTAGCTTTCCTCTTTGATACCCCAACTTCATGAATTTAAAAATAGTACTAGATTGGCAGTTAGGTCTCAAAATTCATACTGTTGAACTTGCTAAGTGGAAGTTCCATTCTAATGGTTTCTTCTCTTGTACTGCTTGCTTGTGGAACACTCTTCCGGCTTCTTGCTTTCCCGTCAATTATGATCTTCGAAATTTTAATCATCATCTGTCTCTTTTAATGCCCTAATATTTTTTTCAGTTTTTTCACTCTTAGTAAGCATTTGTCTTAGTGGCTTTATAGCCTTGCTTGGGATGTAAAAAAAAAAAAAAAAGAAAAAAAAAATTTTCACTGCTAAATTTTCTGATATTAAAATCTACCATTCCACAGATGCGGGTGAGATTCAAATGTGATTTGCCATTGGAGATTTTGATTTCATCACTCCCACTATCCTACCTGAGGAGAGGGGAACCAATAGGTTTAGAGAATTAAAAGTAAGGAGGAAAGGGAAAAATTGGTTTACTTTACTGGCATTGCAGTTATGCTAAATGCACATGTGTGGAAGAAGCTGAAAGAACATTAAAAGATTGATGAATTACATTTATAGTTAAACGATAGAGGCTTGGAATGAGAAATTGGAATACTGAGTTACATTCATTGTTACATTCATTTATGCACAAATATCTTTGGGTTAGATATGAGTCCATCTCTCCCCCAGCTATGGGTTAAATAGACTTGTATCTGAAAAAAAAAAAAATCATTGTTATTCTCACAAAAATTGTTAATGCAGTATTGTAATAAAAAAAATATTATTCTTATAATCCAAAATATATTTCGTCATTAAATAACCCAAAGGGTTGATAAGCTGTAGAAAAAAAACAAAAAAACAACCAAATCAAGTCGAGGTCCACATTTCACATCCAAACAGCCACTTGCAATTCAGGAAGAACTTGTTTTCATTACTGAACACTAAAAAGTGCTATTAGATCTTACAATAACACTAGAGATATACAAGGTGGTCTGAAGGTCTTGTCACCCTCTATCAAAGAGTAATGTAGACAATATTACAAGTAATACAATAATATAAATACATGTACTAGATTCATTTTATTCTCTTTCATTTATGCTGTCACACATTAAGAAGGTCTGTATGAAGACCATCATTTTCGTAGCACAAATTGATGTGGTGTCATGTCCGGTGTGATATTTTATGAAGCTCTGCTTTGTTGATTGTTGCAAAGGCTCTCTGAACATCATCCTTCAACTGATGAGTATTCTGATATCGTTCATGTGAAATTCTCTCCTTGATAATACCCCCAAAGAGCACTGAAATAGAAAATTATATTATGTAGGGGTGACAAGACTTTTGGACCTCCCTGTAGATGGTGTCACAGCATAAATGAAAGTGTGATTAGGGGCATGTATGGCCATGGATCTACTGCAGTGTGTCTGTGTTGACACTCCTGAAGCCATATTTTCCCTGACATATGCTATGAAGTCTGTCACTGCTGTTTCTGTTGTTGAGTATCTGTAAAATATGGCCATCCAGAAATTGGTAGGAATATTCCTTTGGCTACTGTTTTGAAACCTCAAAGCACCATAGACATGTCTAATGTGAGCAGCAATTTTCTGAAATGACTGGCCAGTTTCTTGAAAACTTGCAATCGGACCTGTCTCAAACAGCTCTAATTGAATGAAACGGGTATGTCTGTTGGCGCAACGCCTGCTTTCACTCAAATTTTTCAATATGCTGAATCTAATTGCAGCATGTGCCATTATCTAAAGCTCAGACACTTGTATGAGTGTTACTATGTCACAAGGCATTAATTTAAATGGTAAAAAGCCCCAAAACATACAAATAAAATTAGAAAAATTTACCTTCAGCTAATATGAGAATAGATGATAAATACTTGAAATACAGCATGTTGTTTCAATGCCCACTAACATTGCAGTTTCTTCCATGGAATGGATAATTTGTTTCAAATTAGATTTTACATCTAAGACGTGTGTGTGTGTGTGTGGGGGGACTAATTCTATGACCTAAAGAATTTTTTTTTTCTTTCTTTCTCTCCTTTTCGGTTTTGCCCCAAAATAAAAATTTTGATCTGAAGAAATTGAAAATTTTATGAGAATATCTATTACTCGTATTCATAAGCTGGAGCCAGGTCAAAACCAGTATCATCTTTCATCAATATTTTATTTTCTCTTGATACATTTGGATGTGGTTTTACATTAATTTCTGAAAGGTTTAAAAAAAAAAAAAAGGAAAAAAAAAGTATGATGTAACAGAGACTAGTTAATTTAGTTGTGTTATGGTCCGGTTCCTTGTACCACGGTGATAGTCCAAGGTAGAACCAATAAAGAACTCGAATATGGATATGGAATAACACAGATATATTACAAACAGGAATATATACAGAGAAGTAGAAAGTGTTAGTATGAACAATCAGGTTTAGTAGGGAGAACAATGTAGTCCCGACCAGTATCACTATTCCAATGTCTTGTAGTAATTGTCTGAACGCGACTCTGTTTCAGACTGCCTCTGACTCGACTGACTCACTCTCTCTGACTGACTGATAGACTCCTGACGGACTTCACTCCAGACTTCAGACTGAATAGTAAGTCACCCCCCCACCACGAGGGCATCCTGTGGCACAAGGCCGATTTAATGTGGGATCTCCGAGCCCGTGGGCTCAGCCAAAAATATGCCCTTTGGGTTCAGTGTCGGTTTACCTCCTCCGAAAGAGACCCCGCCCTTTGGCATAGCCTTGTTCGGGTTCCTCCCCGCTGAAGGCAGAGAGTTCAACCGATTAGCCGGTCACCCGATTTTGGACTGAACGCCCTGCTTCCTCTTGAGGCGCAGTATTTATTACGTATGGAATAGTCCATTATGTTATTATGGGTAAGGTCCCATAACAAGTTGCTACTAGATTTGACTATTGTTTACACTATTTACATGTGGACTATTGTCCACCATCTTTGTTGTTGTTGTTTGCCCTTGGGACTTCATCAGGTGATTGTCGAAGTAAACTTCAGGAAATCTTTAGCTGAACCCTTTATTTAATCTACAGAGGTAGATTGTTCTTGTTCTGCTGTCCATGTCAGTAAATTCAGTCAAGTGTGACAAGTAGCAGCACTCCTCAGCAGGCAGATTAGGTTTAAGGCTCAAAGTTCTCCATTCACAATTGTCCCACAGGACACGAGCCTAGTGGCTTAAAGCATTGGTTTGGGAATTTGGTGGCATAATAATTATGAGTTCAATCTCTGGGCCGGATAATGTGTACTTGAACTCAGTGGAAACAGGGTAAGCAATGAATGAGCAGTAGTAAAAAAAATAAGAACTACACGAGATATTTATGGACATAGACAGCAGAACAAGATTAAATAAAGAGTTCAGCTCAAAATTCCCTGAAGCTTAACTGATGAAGGCTGTATATTGCAATAACAACGACAAACATAGACACAATAGTCCACTTGTAAATAATGACAACTCATCATCCCAAAAATTCAAACAGAAATTACATTTGACTATGTGTAAAAAATAAACATCTTTCTGTTTTTATTATAGAAACAAAAACTAAATATGATTCTTTATATTTCAGGGAAAAGAAATTACGTTTACATTTTGTGGCGACTTCAACAGTTCTCCAGAGTTTGGAGTGCATCAATTCTTGACAACTGGATATATTCCTGCAGATTTTCAAGAATGGAAAGGTAACTTTTGAATCGATGAAAACATTTTTAACCTAGTGTTAGGGTGGTGGTGATTATTTCACGGCATAGATATGAATGTAGGCATTATTCTGTGTAAAGAAAAATACTCCTAAGTTGAAAGGTGTTTGTGGAGTTAATTAAATACATACTTTTACTAGAAAGGATATAAAAATGAATGTAAGTTAAATTTATTTAAATCAAATCACATTCATTGTCAGTGACAACAGCCCAATGGTAAGGTAAATTTTTGATTCCATATTTAAAGAAAATTTGAATGACTTCCATTTCTTTGTTTCTAAATGTTCTTCAACCAATAAAATATTCTAGTCACTGAAACAAATAAAAATCTGTAGATGTGAAATTTGATAAATATGGAGGATATGAAAAAACCTCCCATCTTAAAGATCTTATTTTTTTCTTGAGTTTATTTCAAAGAGTGTGTCTTCACATTGTCATGCTGGAGAATAATACCTTTTCTGTTTACCAAAGCAGGACACTTTTGACATAATGTTTTGTTTACCTATCAAGTCACTGGCAATTAATGTCTTCTTTAATTCAGTAGCTCATAATGAAATCTTTACATGTCATGTCTGCTCAAGACATCGGCAATTATAGATCTCCACAATTTGATAAGTATGAAGGTATTTTTTTGTTTCAAAGAGTGTGTCCTCACATTGTCATGCTGGAGAATAACAACTTTTCTGTTTACCAAAATTTAAATGCAATGTCAATTGTTATCTTCTTTCTTCTTAATTCCTGTTCTTTTATTGTTCTCTCTTCTTAATGTTTTCTTTTTTTCATATTCTCTCACACTCAGTAACCGCTTGCATTGTAGTGGCTTATAAAGCCTTGCTGGGAGTGAAATGATTAAAATAAAGAAAAATGATTTATTTATTTGATCAAGTTGCTAGCAATAATCTAAGGGGATTGTCATTCCATGTTCCAGGAGCTTGTAATGGATGACACCTTTCATATTCTGCCAGACACAATGCAAGGACTTCAATGGATGCAAAACCCATTTTTCATCACCTGGTAGAACCAAATACAATGTTCTACCATCTGCAGCAACCTTTCATGTTTGCATCACATTGTGATGCAAAATGAAGTTTGACATTTCTTGATTAAAAGGACTGCTGCAGATGATGGAACATTGTGTTTGGTTCTCATGAGGAACTAAAAATATTTTCTTTACATGTTCTCTCAATTTACTCAGGGTTATTGTATGCAGTTAGACATGCTTTTGTACAAAATCTCTGGTGCATTGACATGGATCCAATTCAAAAGTCCCTTTTTGAAAAGTTTTTCTTTCATCTTCCATAAACCACAGCTGAGATATCTGAGTTTTCACTGCATCTGTATACACTGGAACTGGCCTTGGGGCAATACTACCTGTAATTAAGTGAGAAATGAATTCGTAGGCTTTATTCAACTCAAAAATACCACATACAGAATTTTACTAGTCCCTTGCACCAAGGGCAGACAATTATTAATTTCTGGTCAAGGGGAGACAATTATATGAAACCTTACACCATTCACTCTGGCCAAATGATGTCACTACCCATATCTTTGGCAAGCACGACTCTCACTCTCTGGGAGTGCCAAAATGTGGGTTTTTCCACCTTAATGGTTTTAAGAAATTGTTCGCCATGTTTGGGTGGTATGTTGGTACTGTTTGGAGAACCAAACAGTACCAACATACCACATTTCTCCGACAGAACCATTTCCAGTAGCTTGTGGTGCTGGCTCTTGTGAGGGGTTCTGAGGTGTTGATTCTTGTGAAGTCTTCTGTTCTTCCTCTGTTCCATTCTCTTCTCTTTCATATGTCTGTGAAGAGCAAGAGGTCAGGTCTTGCAAAGGGGACTGTTGACCCATGTTTATCACTGTATTTGATGTGTACATATCTTGGATTCACATCTAATACTTCTACTTCTTGGACCAAATGACGATTTTTTGAATTCCTTACAAACTGATGCAAAAGGACTGGTCCCAGTTTTTATAACTATGATGAAAGAGATATGCCTATGAACGATTGCAGGAAAAAATAGCAGGGATCTCTCATAAGGTGTGGCATTTGTTGCAGTTGACAGCATAGACCTGATGCTATCTAGGGATCTTAGTAGTAATAATTCTCACTGGGATAACGGTAAGTTTTCTGATTTCAGAGCAACGGAAATAGCTTTCCATATTATTCCATTGTACCTTTTAAGTTAAGCATTGCCTTGTGGGTGATGAGGGGTTGTCTTACTTGTGGCAACTCCCTTCCAATATAGGTATTCTTTTTCTGCGTCTGCCACATTTGGGTCAATATTCAGCTTATCAGGAGATAGTAATCGCCCCATAATGATAATTTTTTTATAGGTTGAATAAATTGTAATGAATTCACACGAAAATACCTTTTTGTAGGTTTTATTCAACTCTAAAAAAAACACCTACAGAATTTTACTAGTCTCTTTAGTCAAGGGGAGACAATTTAATTTCCGTTCAAAGGGAGACAATTACGAATTCTCTAATCGAATTTTTTTGACTGGTGACTCTAGATGGGGTTAGTGAAGATAAATATGAGGGACAGTTTGGTAAAATTCTAAGGATTGCCCCTAAATGAACAATTGGTTTCTTAAAGCTATTTCTTATCGAATACTGATGTTTCTTGCTTTATGCCCTTATGTCGAAAATGCAGTTCACATACCTTAAAAAAAAAAAAAAAAAAAAAAAAGAATTAAAAGGGCAATTACACCCTATTTTAAAACGCTTGTCAAAATGTAAGATAAAGAAAGTTCCAGATGTATTGGCGGAGATTTTAATTAAAAAAATGCTATCCGTATTTTTATCGAAAATTTCACTAAATTGATAAAACAATGAGTTTTGTAGGTGTTCTAAAATTCAGTAACAATTCAAAACCATTTCGAAATACTAAACACATAGGCGCAACCATTTCGAAATACTAAACACATAGGCGCAACCATTTCGAAATACTAAACACATAGGCGCAACCATTTCGAAATACTAAACACATAGGCGCAACCATTTTGAAATACTAAACAGGGCGCAACCATTTCGAAATACTAAACACATAGGCGCAACCATTTCGAAATACTAAACACATAGGCGCAACCATTTCGAAATACTAAACACATAGGCGCAACCATTTCGAAATACTAAACACATAGGCGCAACCATTTCGAAATACTAAACACATAGGCTTTCGAAATACTAAACACATAGGCGCAACCATTTCGAAATACTAAACACATAGGCGCAACCATTTCGAAATACTAAACACATAGGCGCAACCATTTCGAAATACTAAACACATAGGCGCAACCATTTCGAAAAAAAAGAAAATTAAGGGGAGATAACTTTTATATATTTTGTGTAATCTGTTTTGATGTATTCGCACATCATCAGTGGTGTTTTTTTTTTTTTTTTTTTTTTTACTTAATAGTCCTTTATCATTTGAAAAAAAAATATTTGCGGTAATGAATAATTTTTTTCTTTATAAATTGATTGCTGAATTCTTCATTTACGAAATAACAGGGTTCAATTCAACAAAAGATGGCAGTTGATGCTGCATTTAAATTTTTGAAGATTGTAGTTATCAGGGAAGCAAGTAAGTGGGAGGGAGTTTCATAAGCGGGAAGAGCAAGAAAAGAAACTGTTGTAGTAGAACAAGCGGTTATATTTAACTATTACAACAAGAAAAGGGTAGGACCTAGATACCAATCTAGTAGTGAGCTTAACTCCACATTGCTGGGGCACCAGGCAAAAAAAAGCCCATCAGAGCAGTTGCCATGAAAATATTTGTAGAAAAGACAGAGGGAAGCCACATTACATCTGTTAGAAAGTGAATGAAGTCGAGATGCCAAATCAGGATTGATTACATTGCAAATCCTTCTTTGGATTTTGTCAAGAACCTCGAGATAAATAGCAGGAGCACCAGACCAGATATGGCAACAGTATTGAATGCATAGAGCCCAGTTAATCACTTGTGTAATTGAAATGAATATAAATAGAGATAATCCATTCCAAGTCTCATCCACTCCTATTAAAAAGTCAAAAATATACCAATAGCAATTACATCAGTAAATACAGAAATAAATTGATACAAAAAAATCTATCACTAGTATCATTTCTACTTAGTGAATTCTGTAGGGGAATTTAATTCATCTTGTTCATTTTGTGACTCTTGTATATTGTACTCAAACTGTTGTATATCTGAAGGTTGTGTTATACCTATTTTTGAGGATTTGGTTAATAGTAGACATATTCTAGTTACAAATTTTGTATATATGTTATTAGATTTTATTACTATGAAGTCTCAATTGAAAGAAATTATTGTTGTGGTAGTTTTTCTGTCTCCATTTTTACTTGTTTTCATTTTGGATATTATATAGGAACACACTTGCAAGACTATTAAGAGTGTAGTACATTTAATTCTATTGTTTGAAAGTTATTAAAATGACGTCCAAATTACTTGAAAGCATCAGCTTGATGAGAAAGTTATGTTTTTTTTTCTGCCAATATTTTTGTTACATTAATTCTTCCTCCTTTTAAAATGACCCTAAAATATCACTGACCATGTTTGGTAATAGAAATTAAATAATGTCCTTCTCTTCACCTGTAATTAAGATTCAGGGGGCTAGATAAATGATAACCTAAGACTTGAATTATTTTATTTGCTCCAATGGCCAGTGTGGTATGCAAGCTAGGTCAAGTTAACATCCAGTAAGTGAAGCTTACATTCTCTATTGGGATGTGTGAAAGACTGCCAATCCTCTCTGGGATGGTTGGTTTCTATATATCTGTTTAAAATTCTTGATCTCATGCTTGCAATACTGAATGCGGGTGTGAGGTCATGTCAGCTTCTTTGGCCTTCTTCATGTGTCTTTTAATAAGGGTAACCATCAGTGAATTTTGAACTAAATCCTTTAATCTAGGAGAGTCATTAGTAAAGAAAGAAATGAGGATGAAGGGAGTTAAGCTTAACAGCAAGGTTGCAGCAC